AAACATATGACCACAACAAAAAGGAATGACAATATCAACCGCCTTCAGAGAAAGAAACAAACCACGATCTTCCGCCTACGAACAGAACATATACAGCTCAACTTCCACCTGAACAGAATAAACCCGGAACTTCCCCCAATGTGTCCCTTGTGTGACTATGCATATGAGACTGTGGAGCATCACCTGATCCACTGCACAGCCCTAAATGACATCAGAGCTACATTATCCGAGACATCCGAGACCTAACATTGACAACACACTCTATGGAACATTACAGCAACTGCAGCAGACCTGCACTACATGGCATTGGACAGAAGGGCGAGAGCCCAGCTGTTGCTGGATCGATAACAACAACAACAACAACAACCAATTAGTTTACAAAGGGATAGAAGTAGAAGGCGAATAGGCTATAGAGCGTGGGGTAATTTATGCAAACTTTCATATTTCGCGTGTGAAATATATGGATATATTTTACCGGAAGTGCAATGATAAAACAACTCCATGTATGGTATAAATAACAAATCAAAATGAAGCACAATAGCAAGTTCAAATGCCACATAGAAAAAAGAAATATCCTACACAAAGATCATTCAGCATCTTTAATGTGCTCAAACTGAGTTGACGACAACCACAAGCAGCATCCTTAAAATAAAATCCCGAGGATAGCCCGGGGAAAGAAATTCTGATAGGACTGAAGCAACCAAGGATCAATCTGCAGCATGGTCGATGCAGAACATTTGGTGGTATGAATTTGCCTTCATCGATGAGGCTGGTATCAAGCTGTTGACGAAGAGAAACCGAGGAAGAGCATGGAGTTGTCAACGTTTTGTTCGAGTAATGAAGGGTCGAAGGGGACCGAACCTCACGATGTCAGTGTCTTTCACGACTTTCAAGTAGAGGGAATGGCAGCTTTTATTTCAACCCATCCGTCTAACAAACTGTTCCAACAATCCCACAAGCGAACACGTGGCACCACATCGTCCACCGGTGTCAGGCACAGTGTTGCACAGGAGACCCCACTTCCAACTCATATTGGGATGATGTTGCATGCTCATAGACACAAGAAGGAATTGATCGACATACTGTCACACCTTGGCCTGAGCATCTCTTATGATAGAGTGCTCCAGTTCTCAGCACAGATGGGCAACCATGTCTGCCAACAATTTTACAGAGAACAAGTGGTCTGACCTCCAAAAGTGCGTGGCGAAGAGTTCACAATAGCCGCTGTAGATAACATAGATCACAATCCTAGTGCAACAACATCAAAAGACTCCTTCCAAGG